CATCCATCCATCCATCCATCCATCCATCCATCCATCCATCCATCCATCCATCCATCCATCCATCCATCCATTTTCTTCATCTGCTTCTCACATGCATGTTTATAGTCTGTGGGAAGAAACCGTAGTACCTAGTGTAAACATGCGTGCGCACGGGGAGAACATGCAAATGTCATCCAGAGAGACCCAGGCAGTAGTAGAACCTGTGACCTCAGAACCTGAGCTCTAACCGCTGCACCACCATGACGCACAAACTGAAACCAATAAAATCATTCTCACCCAGTTCAGATTCTATTATAAACCAGCCCAGTTATAGTGGAACAAAGATCAACTCTTCGCCCGCTGTTGCCATTTTCTTTAGTGTTCTTTTGTTCCRGTAAAATTACCTCTGCCAGTCATTTACTTTTGAACAATTATTTTAAATGCCGTGAGGAATTGTCCTCCCGGTGACATTTTTATAGCTCAGATTTGACAGAGTAGCGTCGAGGTGGTTTTCATTAACCACTTGTAGTGTACACAAATTGTGCTCTCACTGTAAAACAGCTGTTTTACAACCATGAGAGGGGGCCGCGTGAGAGAGAAGGMGAGCTTTTACATGACTTTCATGGATCGGCTTCCATTAGAAAGAGTGCTGCTGCTGTTTCTGCCTCATTAAGATCAAATTATCTGTAATTAGCAGCTCAGATGTTTGATCATACTGTTTTTAGACACAAGTTGTGGCGAGGAGAGAAAGTGGCGTGGACGTACAGGCACACCATTGTTTTTTAATGATTTACTGTGTTAATATTTAACTTTATCGTGTGAATGGATGGAAAACATTATCTCTTGCTCGTTGGCTCAGTCAGCGCTATGAGMAACGCGTCATACTAATATGTATTTTTGTTGCTCCTGAAGGGCATCCATCATGTCTAAAGTTCTCCGAAGAATTAACCTTGAATGTGAAGAGATTAAGGTGGCAGTGCATTGAATGCAAAACCTGCAGCTCCTGTCGAATACAGGGGAAAAATGCTGTGAGTATTATACTCAGCACACCATTTTTAGTGCTGTATATCCCATTCTCTGGATCCCTGAGGATTTGTTGAGATTTGTAAATGCTCTCATGTGCACAATTGAGCTTATTTTCCTAAAAGAAATTAAATGACAGTGGGGTTACATGTATGCGACTGGGACGTCCCTCACACACGCCTGCTGTTCCCTTTCAGGATGAGATGCTGTTCTGCGATTCATGTGATCGAGGCTTTCACATGGAATGCTGCGATCCGCCGCTTTCAAGAATGCCAAAAGGTGAGGTGTTTACACTGTCTGGCTTCTCTGTTTCTTCCCTTCTGCTGTCAATTCAAAGGCTTTTCTTCACAGACGGCCGTTTGGGGCTGTCACTCAGCACACAGAAAAGCACCAGTGGCTTATTTGGGGCTTTGCATGCATATCAAATTATTTCAGCATCCCCAGGGAGAATTTTTTATCTCTGCATTACAGTACTGACCCTGCAGCAAGGCTTGTAATGATGGTGATGGTACTGTAGTAGAGTATTTGGCAGGGAGTTCATACAAGTCACATAGCTTGGGTCAACAAGCTGACACGAAGTCTATTTTTGTGGTCTGAGAATTGACCCTGTGTTTTTCCTATGGATTTTCACTTTGTGCTGAGTAATTGATTGTCATTGTGAGCTGGTGGGATTCTCGCCAGCGCTTTGTATTAAAGGAAATGTTTCAAATGACTGTACCGTATGTCCTCTCCATTGATGAACCCACCAAAAAACGGTACACTCTCTCTGTGTTTGGAAACCATCCAGGAACCTGGATCTGCCAAGTCTGCAGGCCAAAGGAGAACGGGAAGAAACTGCTGCACAAGAAGGCCGATCAGATCAAACGTCGATATGCAAAGCCAATCGGAAGGCCGAGAAATAAGCTCAAACAAAGAATGTGAGCGGGCAAATATTGGAAGAAAAAAAAAGTCACCAGGAGCGATTTTCTAATTCTCTTTCCCTCTTCAACGAGCTGTTTTGTTCTTGTCCCAGCAGGTCTGTAACCAGTGGTGATGGCTCCATGGTAGCACTTGGAGGAAGGGGGTCACCTGGTAGGGGTCAAAAGATTACCGTCTGTTCCACACCTTCATCTGGTCATGCTGCATCTGTGACGGACGCCAGAGACAGATTGACTGTTGCAGAGCCTTGTTGTGCGGTCAACGCCACCCAATTCACCTCTTCCCCTCCCACCACCACCCCCTCCCTCACGCCCACCTCCACCCCAGCCACACTTACTGTTAACAAGAAAACCAAAGGGCTTATTGATGGGCTTTCCAAATTCTTTACCCCTTCCCCTGTGGGCCGTCGCTCGCGAGCTGTAGCCATAGAGTCGCCCTCCAAACAGTTATGCTCTAGAGACAAGGGTCCTCCCAAACTGTCCAATTCACCAGAGCCGTTTGCCTTCGCTGCTGATGCCTCTCAAACGATAACCCCTCCATCTTCTGCACTTCTTCCCGCTTCCACATTGCCAGGACTTAGCCCCCCCTCGCAGGTGTCCAGCAGCTCCACTTCTGCTAACTCACCGCAGAGCTCTTCCAGCCAGTCTAGTGTTCCCTCCCTGAGTAGTCTCTGCAGTAGCAGCCAGCTGAAGGGGCTTTTCGATGGACTCTCTCACATTTTTACTACTCAGGGACAGTCGCGGAAAAAGAGGCCACCAAGCTACGCGCCGCCAAAGCGCAYGCCCCATAAGCAGGATTTGTCCAGAACGGGGCCGCAGTGCCTTGGAAAGAACGAGTTTAGTAGAAATAGGTTACACTCCTCATCAGCTGGGCCCGGCCGACCCAGAGGAACCCCTTTTAAGATGGTCAGTCATTTCAAATGCAACCCTTTCCTTAAAAATCACAGGACACTAGGCAGGCTGAAGTATAGAGTGAGCCCTCAGAAGGGATCCCCCTCACCAGGAAAGGGAGACTTGACAGACGGAAGAATTAAGCCTGAGAATAATCATGGTAAGCAAGGCTCAAATTACCAACCAAGACCTGCGTCTCCACACTTTTAAGCTTCTTCTTCTTTATTATTTTAAAGCTTGACACTCGCTGCGAAGACACCCTCAACATTCTAACAAGCTACTAATCCTTTTCCTGATTTGAATTATTTTATTTACACAGTTTATTTGCGTTTTGACTTGGCTTCGAAGTCTCCGTGGCTTCCATCTCCTCGCCCGTTGGCTTTTTGTCATAGTGCATGGCCCACTAACCCCCTCATGCTGCTCCTTGCTCTGTCCTTGACACTCTCCCGTAGTGTGCACACTGTGATCACCACATAGTAGAAGCTGTAGTCACATCGCGCTCTTCCTCATCCCACCTTCACTCTTGAAGTCACTGTCTCCTCTTAACCTCACTCTCAGTGGTCATTAGCCACGTCCAACCCAGTGATTCAGCCACCCAAGTTGACTCAGAGCTGACACGATGATTACACCCAGAATTTCTCTAACCCATACATTTTACTGTCTTCAAGCATGAAGTCAAAGCATAAGAAAACACACCGAACACAAGGTGATTCATGTTTCAAGAAGTTCTAAACAAAAGTCCTGCTCAGACTCCGAGTACTCCAGCAGCACATACCCATAAATATGCAAACGACACATCATTTCCACTTATAATGGGTTTTTATTTTGGTGGTTAAGTCACGGTGTTGATGTCTTTCATAAAATTACTGCCTGCTTTCCAACATCAGTTGCTTTTCATGTCGACACTCGCTCCCTCCACTGCATCTGCTTCTTAATTCATGGGAAACTGTCTTGGTGGATGACTAAGCACATGAAAGCGGTTACGCAATTAGAGTGATTTAGTTTCACTTCATTACATTAGGGATTTTAATATAAACATGCAGAGATGATACATTATGAAATTCCTCCGAGACTCAGCCTCAAACAGACTCGGCAGCAGCACTCACAGTATAAGCACATTAGCATAGAATGCATTTATGAGATTATTCAGCCACGGCTGCTTGAAAACAGGCTGAAGTCGATGTGCTCGTCTGATGTGTTGTTGTTGTATTGTTGTGCCTGTAACAGGCCACAATGTGGAGCTGCACGTGAAGCAGGAAGTTCAGACMGAGTGTGTGGCCATGTTGAGAGACCATGTGACAGAGGAAGACACTGAGACATTCGCGCGGGTCCAGGAACGTGCTGCTCAGGTGAGGTAACAGGGTGAAAMGATTCAACTGTCGTATGTTTTATAACTTTTGGCTGATGCAAGAAATAGTATTTGAAAAACAGGGAAATAGTAGAATGAAAACATTTAAGATTTGTTTGTTTTTTAAGCAGATGAATGCATTTTATTGTCACTTGCCTCTTATTGGTGTCATAAAAACCAAAAATAGGGACAAATTAAGAACATACACAAATCCAATCTAGTTATAAAACATAAAATAAATTGATTCACACAATAAATGTTCTTTGTATTTACATAAAAATCCTTTTTGTTTTTGCTGAAATGCAGAAAAAATGATTTTGTGATTTTAGTTGTTGATCTATAGAACTGTACTGAATGCTATTGTGCATACTTATTCTGTTTTTGCATTATTTAATCTATAAATGTTGAATGCTAACAACAAAAATGGCTGCAAACAAACAACTGCAATAGGTTTATCATTTAGATATTAGTCATAGAGGAACTTGTTTATTTTTAGATTAGAATCTATTGCTGTTATGTATAAAGTAAAGGAGTTATTTAATGATAAAGCACTGTATATGTTGTATAATGCAATAATAGGTCCACACCTGCTTTATTGTCACCTGGTATTGAAGTCTGGGGGAAAGCATGTCGGACAATTACAAATCCTATTTTTTTACTACAGAAAAGAGCTGTGAGAATTGTTACTGGAAAACATTGTCGTCACCCTTCCAATTCATTATTTTGTAAATTGAAAATATTGAAGTTCTTTGATTTGGTTGATTATAATATTCTACTTGTTATGCATAAGGCTCACAAAAACACATTACCTTTAAATATCCAAGTAAATTTTGTTAAGAGGAAGAGTTGTTATAACTTTAAAGGGACAGAGATACTTGTGAAACCCAAATTCAGGACGAGTTTGAAGGAAAGGTGTACTTTAATTCAAGGAATAAAACTATGGAATAACTTGGGGAGTGATGTAAAAAATGCAGGATCATTGTGTACATTTTAAGAAAATTATAAAAGTTGGATTGTTAAAGAAATACGAAACAGTATAATGTGAATCTATATAGATTGTTGTTGTAGAGGGATTATATGTTCTTGTCTTTTGTTTTGCTAATAGCATAGAATTTTTTTTTGTTATATGAACTTATTCTTGAGACAAAAGGGGCTGATATTGTATTTTTTCTTCTCTCTGCTGCCTTTCATTTTTTTTGTGATTTTGATATCATGTATGTGTGTATATATATATATATATATATATATATATATATATATATATATATATATATATATATGTGTGTGTGTGTGTGTGTGTGTATATTTCTTATTTTTCTTTTTATTGTGTATTGTATATAAAATAATTTGTTTTGTTTTAATGAAAAAAAAAACATCAGTAAGATTGGTATCTTTGCAACAGTGTTTTTACTCAAGAGACTAGTTTTTGTCAGGATTATCATATTTTTCACACAGATTTTGTGAACCACAGTCTTGATAAGAGTTTATGATGATGCTGTTACGCTAACTCGTGATAAGAGACATTGTAAATAACATATCTGGATCACTATATTAATTAAATAGCTTTTGTAAAATCCCACAGAAAACTGGATCTCTGATGAATACAGAGTTTATGAGATGTCCCTCTGTCATTGAATTTGGGAAGTATGAGATTCAGACCTGGTACTCATCGCCGTACCCACCTGAATATTCAAGGTAATATTTATATCTCCTTTTTTTATCCTGCTCTAGAATTGTTGATATTTTCTTCCACTTCTAGACTACAAAACCGTGTACACTGAAGCACAAACTGCAGCGCTCTCTTTTTGCCTTTAACAGATTACACAAGCTTTATCTGTGTGAGTTCTGTCTGAAGTACATGAGAAGCAAAAACATTCTCCTGAGACACACAAAGAAGTGTGGCTGGTTTCATCCGCCAGCCAATGAAATCTACAGAAAGGACAACCTTTCCGTCTTTGAGGTCAGCTTTCCTTTACAGGGATTGAGCAATAACTGAATGCTGCATGAGATCTCACCAATAAATGAGCTCAGGGATGAGGAGGAGAAATACTCCGTTTGAACAGTGTCCCTTTGCTCTTTTTGTGTGTGTGTGTGTGTGTATGTGTGTTAAGGTTGATGGAAATGTCAGCAAACTGTTCTGCCAAAACCTCTGCCTATTAGCCAAGCTTTTCCTGGATCACAAGACCTTGTATTATGATGTGGAGCCTTTCCTCTTCTACATACTTACAAAGAATGATGAGAAAGGCTGTCATCTTGTGGGCTATTTCTCCAAGGTATGAATTACAGAGTGATTTTTATGGGAAACGAAGGATTACCGCACATCATTTTTGAACGATGATACAGATAGAGGAAAAACCTCACTGTAATTTGTCTGTTTTTGCAGCAGGGGTTTTCAACTTATATCCACAGCAGTGCCTAAACGATGGGCTTGTTAAGCTGAATTGTCAGGCCAAGAGCATTTGTTGGTTTCAGCTTTTATACATTCGGGGAATTTGAAGCTTTTCTCTGTTTTACATAATTGTAAATTGACAGTTTGGGATGCTTTTTAAACAAGGATATATTAGCATTTCCTGGCAAGATAAATATGCGATTAATTTCTAAACAGATTTGGTGCTAATGACTAATCATTAGTTGCAGACCTAATTCTCACACAGTGGTACTTTTAAAGTGAAAGTCATTACCTTGTGTGTATGTGCACAGCTTAAAGACAAGGACAATGGCAGGTGCAGTAAATTGCCGGCTTCAGCAGAGCTCTGACATACTTGATCTGTTTCTCCTTCCCTCAGGAAAAGCTTTGCCAGCAGAAGTACAATGTCTCCTGCATAATGATTATGCCTCAGTACCAAAGGCAAGGATTTGGAAGGTTCCTTATTGATTTCAGTAAGTTCTTCAAAGCTTTTTTTAGACCACCAGAATCACTGTTTTCTTCATTGTTTTTTTTTTTTTGTTTTGTTCTGTTTGGTTTTTTTGTTGTTGTTTTTTTTACCAATAATTTCAGATTAAAGGGCGGATTTGTAGCTTGTGGCAAGGTGCTGTTATTTTGTTAAGGCTTTGAAAGGGTCTAATCAAGAGCATTCATGTACAGCGGTGAGGCAATCACAGATGATTAGGTGTGAGAAACAACATTCTGGCTGCTTTTATTATTTGGTAACTAGTAGTATTTTACCTAAGCATTTACCTAAAGAGCTGTTGCTATAGAAAATGCCCCCCCAATTTTCTCTTCCTGACTTGTGATGAGGTGTAGATGCTGCTTTTATGTTTTGCTGTAGTAAATGCAGCACATATAATATTTATAGCCTTGCGGTCCACTTAAGAAAACAGTTGCTGCCTTGAGTGGATTTCTGTGTTTAGGCAGGCGGTTTTTTTTATTTATTTATTTATTTATTTATTTTTTGTTAGTGTAGGCATTTTTATTATTTTCGAGTCGTCTCTTTGTCGACTTCGTGCGCGAGGAAGCAAAAGGAGGAAAGTGAGCGCAGGGAGGGCGGGCGGTAATGGASCATTTGATTTCCTGTTCACTTTGGGAGCCATTGAGACACAGAGATGCGAGAGGATCTGTGATATTGAGAGTGTGCAGATAACAAAGACAGGGATTAAGGGAGACTGAACACAGCTGAGTTCTGAGCTCTTTGAAGGCTTTATTGGAAAATGTAGCTCTGGAGCTGGAAGTTGTTTAGATTAAGATTTTTCTTTATATTGGATTGTCTTAGAGGAACACTTTGTCTCAGGTAGCTCTGAGAGCACAGCGTTCGTATGTGCGTTTGTTTGGAAAAATGTTCCCTTTTCAAACCACAGCTCAAACGGCTCTTAACGGCTCTTTTGTTTTGATGTACGACAATGAATTTTAAAAATTACCGTTTTGATTACATTTTATTAATAATCATTGCTGTTTATTTTCAGAAGCTCATTTTCTTAGCCGTTGTAATGAATATTGTCACTGTTACTGGAATATTATGCATTTGCTGTTTGGTGATTAGATTTGCTTGTTTGGTTTTTGTAGTGGGAGCACATTAAAAGGCATTAATTAATTTCATGTCTCCCGTAATGGATGACCTTTGATGGGGCTGTCATAAAACTAATTATACTCACATATGTATTAGTATTAGTTCTTTTCCTTGTTTGTTATCTCTCTTTTGTGTAGTCTCCTGTGAGAAATGACATTCAGCTGCTTCTCCGTTTCACTTTGTCACTGTTTCCTCTTTGCTTCCCTCTTTCATCCTCTTTTGTTGCCCTTGCCAGCTTGTATCATAGCTTCTGACAGAGGTTGAAGGAGTGGAAAGCTGATTGCCTTTCCTCCCTTTATACTATTTGAAGGTGAATCCCAACAATGGCTTGTTGTCACATCCTGACATGAATATCTAAACCAAAAAAAAATAAAAATAAAGGATTGAATTGCAATCTGAAACAGCCCAGCTGCAGCCGCTAGCTTGACTGAAGCATTTTTTTTTTTATTTTATTTTTTTATCGTGTCTTTTTAGGTTACCTTCTCACCAGGCGAGAAGGACAAGCTGGCTCCCCGGAGAAGCCGCTGTCAGAACTGGGTCGCTTATCCTACCTGGCATATTGGAAAAGTGTCATACTGGAGCACCTTTATAAGCACCCAGATAAACACATCAGTGTTAAAGGAATAAGCAGGGCCACGGGGATGTGTCCACATGACATTGCCTCCACTCTCCAGCAGCTCGGCATGATTGACAGACAGGATGGCAGGTCAGTTTCCGAGCCTCAGTCTCCTTTCAGACTATTCTGCCGCTTCTGTCTGCTGTCTGACTTATCCAGGCCAGAGAGTATTTTTAACAGCATATCCATTAATGCTGCTGAATATTGACAGAAGTAAGTCAGGTTAAGTACCCCGAAGGACACGGAGCACCTGGGGTCCCAAAGAGCTCGTCTTTGTGTTTGGGTTTAACCACACATCCCCTTCTCTTTGCAATGAATAGTGCCTCCGTCTGTTGCGGATGTGCTGCTAATGCCTTTTCGTCTCGTTACGTCACAGGATTGTGTTGGTCAGAAGAGAGAGGTTGATTCAGAGGCACCTGGAGAGGCTGAGGGCTAACCCACGTAAGAATGAGGTGGACCCAGATGCCTTGCGCTGGACTCCTTCCACGACTCTGAATGCTGTCCTTTCTGAGGAGGAGAGGGAGGCAGAGATGGATGTGGGTTTTGTTTTTTGTTTTTTTTGTTTACGCACACCGAAAACACCGTTAATGGATGCTTGATTAGCTGAGGCCAATAATTAAACAATCATTCTCACTTTAACCAGAATGTTGTGCAAAAATTGCCCTAAATCAGTTCATTACATAATTATTAGTAATGATTACTCCACGTAAAGCAGTCTTTTTAAACAGGAATGCTTTCTTCACAGTAATCTTGACAACTAATCAGAACACTGCTTAGAGACCTGCACTGATTCATGTGTTGTGACGTTAATTCCAATCTCTTGTTTTCCCRTTAGCGTCTCTGCTCAGATGTTCTGTCCGTGCGCTCTCCTTTCCCAGAGATAATGCGTCTTGTCCATTTAATCACCAGGCCGAGCGGCTGAAGGAGCAGGCCAGTTGCTGGGAGAAGGAGGAGAGAGACGGCTACGCGATGACCCACGGTGGCAGGCAAACTCTCACCAAGGTCCACTGCAAGATTCCCTACAGGACGTACGAGCGCCGGCCCGCTCCCCCCTGGTCAAGGCGCATCCAGCAGTCGGAGGCAGCGAGCGATGACGAAGCCGACGACGACGATGACGACTTCGATGGCTTGCCTCCTATCTTGACAAAAGCTCATGCGATGCTTGCAGCCAAGAGAAAGGTGACTTTTAGTGTTTGTGTGTTTTTTCTGTCTACGTGGATAGTCTGCAGCTGCGTGCGTCTCTAAATATTTTCCTTCATTAAAGACCATGTTGTTTACTTGAGAATGTTGGAAAGGTTTGATAAATATTCATAGATTCAGTGAAGGGTTCAGTGGCTTTCTCCTGTCATCTGGAGCCTCCCCTGTGTGCCTGCAGCAGTAGATAATGGATTGTGTTTTCACTGCTGGTGTCGAGTCTTTGCAGGCTAAACCTTGTACTATTGTCAGTGGTCATGGTTAATTTACCGCCCTCTTGTGTGCTGCTTGCAATCTGCTCCATCTATATGGCACTGCCCCCTTGTGCTACAGATAATACTACAGCTGGCTGCATGATGTCAGAGAGATCTCTTTTGGAAACCAGAAAAGACTGAGTGTATTTAGTGCATTAGTTACAGTATTGATTTCACATTCTGTTTGTGAGGGGTTTCAGAAAGGAAAGTGGTCGTGTTGTAAGCAACCGGTGGGGAACAGCTGAAGAATGTAAAATATAGGCTGTGGTCTGTGCTTGCTCTGCCTGCCTCATTTGTGGTTTTCCACACCAGGCTGCCTCGCTTAAACATTTAGTCTTGCAGTTGGGGKTTTTTAAACATTTAGCACAGAATCCTGAGTGAACCTCTGCTAKATCCTCATGGGGGTCATCCACCTAGTTCCCCAGTTTTTGGCCTTAACACTGGACGGTGAGAAAAATTCTCATCGGCTCTTTTATTTGCCTTTCAGAGCACCGCTGTCCTTAAGAAGAGAGGGCGTAAAAGGAAGCGGATAAACAGCAGCGTCACAACAGAAACCATCTCTGAGACGACAGAGGTGCTGAACGAACCGTTTGACAACTCGGAGGATGAGCGTCCGATGCCCCTGCTGGAGCACACCTCCAGGATGGGTGAAATGGAGGAAGACGATGAGGACGATGATGAGGATGAGGACRGGGAGGAGGAGACACAAAAGTACAAGACGTCAAGTATACCAATGAAACGCCGGAGAGGTCGCCCAAGACTTGAGAAAAATTCACAGAAAGACAATCTTGATCACTGGATTGAAGGTATTTCTGTTTGCAAATGATTACACAAAATATCTGACATAACTTTGAAAATACGTCTGTTTGTTTTAACTTTCACGGCAAAACCGAAATGTTTTTTACCTTTTTTTTTCTTTTAAAAATCTTAGGCTCTAACATCATCTCCAAGAGACCCAGCAGAACCCGTCCAGTAAAGAGGAAGAAAGGCTGGCCCAAAGGAGTGAAACGCGGCCCTCCTAAATGGAGGCTAAAGAAGGAGCGAAAGATGGGCTTTAAGCTGAACCTCTACACTCCTCCTGAAACACCCATGGAGGCGGAGCAGCACCACATTCGCACTGAAGAACCAAAACAGGAACCAGACCAGGATGTTGTCAGTTCAGACGAGGGCACAAAAGTGGACCGAGGTTTGGCTAGTCCAGATCTAATGGAGGAGCTCCACTCTGAGCCCCCGAGTCCCGCTGAGCATGGCTCCCAGACGTCAAGTTCCCCTGAGGGATCACCTATAGCTTCGCCGGCGTGTTCACCTGCTCCATCCATCGATGCCGATGGGTCGCCCAGGCCTATGGACCCAACTGATTCACCAGAACCCCCTGAGGACGACCAGCAGGAAAGTAGACAAGATCAGGACTCACCAGCCAAAGACGTGGAGCTCAGCACCGAGGGCGCTGCATCACTGGAACATGATAATGAAGAAAACGATGAAGAGGGGGGGAAAGGAGTTCAAGTAGAAGATCAGGATGCTGATGATGAAGATGAAGGTCACAGGAAAACACCAGCACCTGAGAGCAGCGCAGACGAGTCGGGGCAAAGTTTAAAAGATGCGCCGAAGTGCTCCCAAGCTTTTTTAGATCCAGAAGAAGACAACGACTCTGAGTTGAGTCAGCAGGTTGGTAAAGAAGCATGTAGTGAAGAAGAACAWGTTCCCGCTGCAGCAAACATGCAGGATGGAGGAACACAAACTGCAGAGACCACACCTCCACCTGAAGCAGCCGCGGTCGCATCAATAGCGGCTGCAGACTCTGAGTCCGAGGAGGAAAGCACATCCAGCCCTTGTCCAAAGCAGACACTTCTTCCTCCTGCAGGCAGTTCAAAAACCAGTGCCGTGCTGAGAGAGGCTCACCCCGTCTGCGCAGAGATCGACTCAGAGACTGTTCAAGCTGTTCAGTCTCTGACACAAGAGAGCGAGGGAGAGAATGTGTTCCAGGACTGTGTGGAGAGCCAGGAGCCCTGCAGGAATCTGCAGAGCTATGCCCACGTTGCCCAAAGCCCTCAGCTCACTTCACTGGATGATTGCCCTCAGTCCAACCACAGCAGTCCCCTTTCCTCGGCGCAGTCCCATCCCAGCCAGTCTGTACGCTCGGTTAGCAGCCCGGCCGTCTCCATCCTGGAGAGCGGCTACACTCAGATCAGCCCCGACCACAGCGCCATCTCGGTGCCCTCGCTCCACAACATGGAGACGAGCCCCATGATGGACGTGCCGTCGGTGTCGGATCACTCCCAGCAGGTGGTGGACAGTGGATTCAGTGATCTGGGCAGCATCGAGAGCACCACAGAGAACTACGAGAACCCCAGCAGCTACGACTCCACCATGGGGGGCAGCATCTGTGGCACAGGCCCCTCCCAGAACAGCTGCTCGTACGGCACTATCCCCCCCAGCGGTCTGCCCCAGAGCAGCTGTGCCGTGAGCCAACAAATGGGCGCCGTTAACCCCGGCAGCTGCGGGATGATTCAGCAGAACAGCCTGAGCTCGCCGCCGCACTGCAGCGTCAAGTCGCCGCAGGGCTGCGTGGTGGTGGAGAGGCCCCCCAGCAACAGCCAGCACAGCCAACACAACTCCCACGGCAGGCACGGTCCACACAATCAGCACAGCCAACACAATCAGCTAACCCAGCACAGTCAACACAATCCTCACAACCAGCACAGTCACCACCACAATCACCACCCGCAGCACAATCAGCTCAGCCAGCACAATCAGCACGGCCTTCACAATCAGCACGGCCAGCAGCAGCCCATGGCTCAGTGCGCCATCCCCCCCAACTTCCCCGCCGCCGTGCAGCTGGCAGACATCCCCGAGTCCGGCAACCCCAACTTCGCCCTCTATGAGCGGCTGAACCACCAGGGGGAGTACGGCGGGGGGCACTACTCGCAGCCGTCGGGCCTGAGCCTGGCCAAGCTGCAGCAGTTCACCAACGCCTTCATGGACCACCCTCACTCYCTGCCGTTCAACCACTCCGCCCCGCACCCCAGGACCTCGTACGCCAACACGCCCCCGCTCTCGTCGCAGCACTCCAGCCTGGTGTCGCTGTCCCAGACCCCGCGCAGGCTCCCCAACCCCCAGGTGCAGGCCACCATGACCCCTCCCCCGAACCTGGGCTCGCCGCCGCACGTGATGCTGCAGCCCAACGTGGGCCTCCCGTCCTCTCAGCGGACGCCCCAAACGACGCCCAAGACTCACGTGTCGGCGCGCTCCCGGTCGTCCTCGCTGTCCCACCACCACCACCACCAGCAGCAGATGTACTCGCGCTCGCCGCAGACCGTCGCCATGCAGGCGCCGTCCAGGACGCTGGCCGCCATGCCGCGCGTTAACATGAGCATGAACATCATGCCGGCGCCGGGCTACAACGTCAACTCCATGAACATGCCCTCCCTCAACGCCATGAACGGCTACAGCATGAGCCAGCCCATGATGAACAGCGGCTACCATGGCAACCACGCCTACATGAACCAGTCGCCCCAGTACTCTATGCAGATGGGCATGATGGGAACGCAGCCATACCCCCAGCAGCCCATGCAGGCTCCGCCACACGGCAACATGGTGTACTCTCCAGCTGGCCACCATGGCTACATGAACACGGGCATGTCCAAGCAGCCCCTGAAAGGGCCTTTAATCAGACGCTAACCGAGCTGCGTTTGACTGATGCACCGATCAGGCCTTGTTCTTTTCTCTCTGACGGTGGCTTTTTATTTGATTTTATTATGTTTTATTACTTAAAAACCAGCAGCAGCACTTGTAAAGAATGCAAAAATGTTCATCAGCGAGTTAACTTTAAAGCTAACGTTAAAAACAAAACAAAAAAAGTATTTTTGTTCCTCCTGATGGGAAGCCTTACATCGTTACGATGAAAATCTATTTAATTAGTGTTAGTGTCTCTGATGTGTCTTTAGGCCAGGCGGGTTCAGAGCTCGGACGTAGAGATTTCATCAGTCTTGCAGTTGTGTAGCAGCCTCAAATGAAGCCATTCAATGCTACAAGTGGAGGTAGTGGCTGTTTGAACCTGTTCAGTGTACCTGTCTAACAGTGCTGACATTTAGTTTGTACTATACTCATGCCTTTGTATATTTAAATTATTGTACTTATTTTGTAAAGTGACAAAAAGCATGCTTCAGTCTCTGTTAGTGACAGTGCATTTGAGTAGTACTGTACAAGTGTTGTGCTTTTTAGCAAGCCATTTCAAAAAATATATATCTGGCCTTTTATTAGGTTTCCCTCCACAGGGACAAAAATGAAACTATATTTTGTTAAATCTAATAATGTAAAAAAAATGTAAAATTAGTCTTGTTTTCTGTTTGGTTTGAGAGGTTTTATTGCTATGTATGTATAATTCTGAAGCCTTTTGTAACAAATCTCCTTGAGGCAGCTTTCTGTTTAATAAAGCAGACGGATTTCTGTCGAAAAAAGAAGAAAGTATATCTCAGTGTTTGTACCCTGAAAATTCTAAAACATTTCGAAATATCCAGAAGTGTGGCGGAATTWAAAAAAAAAAGAAAGGATTATAATGATGAAATAACAATAAAGAAGATATAAATTTAGTCCAAAGTTGATATTTTACATAATGCCTTTAAAAGCTACGTTTTCATTCCATCTGTAGATTTGTTTTCTATCTTTATAAAATGTGGGATTTATATTTTACCGAATTGTAGAAGAATAGAGCCTGTGAATAGACCAAACTAAGCTAATGGATTGCATGTAAAACGCAACTTGTATTTGTGTTTTATTTTATTTTTGTTTAGTTTATTTTTTTTGTTTTTTTGTTTTTTGTTTATAATGCTCTTTTGTAGCCTTTGTACCTGTACAGAGCTGCTGGTAAGAACGAGGGAAATATCTGGCTATGTGCACTCAAGTCGAACAGAATGACATTCTTGTATTTATGACTTTACTCCTTTTGTCAGTCACTTAAAATGCTGTACATTTTAGCATAAGAATAAATTATGATTGACCATGTACTCACGTGACCGCTCTTGTTTGATTTGAAACGTTGAAAAGAATTGAGCAGTCCTCACAAAATGTGATGGCCTCTAGATCATTTATTGAAGAAGACTCATCAAAACATCTGTAAAATCATTGGGACTGTAGCCATTTTTGAGTTCCCTGAGGTCTCTTACCTGTGGTGGCCTTTTTGAATGGGGTTGATCCCTTAAATTGAATGAACTCTAGATGTACAATCGATTACTTTTTGAGAGTTGCRTTAAAATCCACTTAGTGCTTTGTGAGATAAGAAGGCCCTGAGTTCTGTCCCTGGACCAGACATGGGGTCTTTCTGTGCAGAGTTTTCATGTTCTTGTGTTTCAAAGGTTTTCTCCCACAGACCAAAGAGTTGTACTGGGTTGCCAAAAAAGTGGGATTAGCCTGGTTAAATAAAGGTCAATAATAATAATAATCTCCTGCCTTCAGTAGTGGCTGATTATGATGTAGACAAGCTTTGCATAACTTTGCACAGTGCTTTAAAAAAACGTTAATAACCTATCCAAATATATTCCTCGTGTCAATATTCGGGTCTTGGGAAACTCAATTAGTAAAACTCAGCCTGGATAAGATTAATATGCTTAAATCAGATTTGCACTTGTAGGTTTGAGACAGAATTTAACCGAATGTGTCTCATATCTCTTGAGTCTTTCCCCTTCAAAGACGTCTCAAACGACTTACGAGCAGAAATTATTCAATGAGCTGAAATTAGACTTGTCATGGAGTGTTCCTGGTTTGCAAAGAGTGCAGTCAGCTCTCCTCCAAAGAGCTTTTCTTGTCCTCCAGGAGCTGCTGATCCAGCTCCCTCAGCTGCTTCAGGAAGCCCCAGTTGGGGATGATCCGCCTGCGCTTCTTCACGTGCTCGACGGCGTCCACCACTGTCATGTTCTCGTTGATCATCAGGTAGGCGAGGAAGAGGGTGGCCGACCTGCTTCTCCCCATCACGCAGTGCACCAGCAGTTTATCTGCAGGAGAAAACTGGGGTCAGTTCCCTTAAACTGAAAACATTTTTTCACCCYGTCTCGGCGTGAGGTTGGTGAAAACGTCTTACTGTCAGGGTTGCTCAGCGTGTCCCGAATGAATTTGGCAGCAGAGAAGAAGTGCTGGCTCAGGTCAAATGTTGGGACGTCTTCTGCGACYACGCCGTAGTAAACAATGTCCATGTCTTTGTAGTAACCAGGTCCAGTGTCCACGTTGTTCCACGTCCCCTCTGCTGCGTTCAGGATGTGTGTGACCCCCAGCCTCTTCAAGGTGAACCTGTCCCTCGCAGTCTCCCTGCAAGAGGTCAGCACCAACATCCTTCTTTATTATGTTCTTGTTTTTATTCTTTTCGTGCATGTTTTGCATCTAACGTGTTTTGCACATTATGTGCTAGCAGTGGTGGGCAGCACTAATCTAAAAATTAGTTCCACTAGCCCTAAAGCACTAACTCAACTATTTAGGTCCCCTAATTCTAAAGCACTAATGCACTGAAAGTTTTAGCAAAAACTAAATCTAAAACAACCCAGTCAACCCATGAACATTCTTCAAAAGACAACATGAGTCACATATCGTCATGTTGCTCTCTTAATACTCATCATTGTCATTCCACAGCTGTATTTGGGTTCACATAGTGAATAAGTGACACACATATGAACAAAATGTGCGACAGCTTTCACCATCAGCTGTTAACATTAATGTTGCACAATAACATTTATAAACCTCAGTTAATGCTTCTAAATTTAGCCTATAAATTTAGTAAGTGCTAATCCACTAATAAGTTTTAAAATTAGCAAAAGCCCTAAAGCACTAATCAGGAAATTAGTTCCCCTATTAGTGCTTTAGGGGAACTGTGCCCACCACTGTGTGCTAGTATAGACTCATTCAGGAGGTGCTAGGRCTGTTTGTTGTAACCTTTACAATTTTCAAAATATATTTTATTCATTCCACCCCACCCCCCAAAAGGAAAAAAAAATGCTATTTTCTGATTAAGATAGCATTTTCCTACTTCATCCTGATACTTTTATAGTTTAGGGGAGTGGTGACGCAGAGGTTAATTTGAATCCCCTGACTTTTTCGTCAAAATTTAAGGTTCGAGAGGTGGAGTGGAGCGCCCACATTTTGTTCTGCCCTCATTTTACCCCTCTACAGGCCCTTGAGCAAGGCCCATAACACTCGCCATCTGCTCTTCCGGGTGCCCTATAGGAAACAGCCCCCTACTCATGTGGGCTGTGGCAGCTTGGTGGTCTGTGGTTGCAAGAAGGGCGACCAGCGTAAAGCAATAACCAAATCTTCAAGTYCACTTGCTGTAGCCACCCTTGACAAAAAGGAAAACACATAGCTAGCGTTTTGCTATATTTAGCTTGGATTTWGCTACTTTTAGCCAATGTTTGTCAAACTCTAGCTAGCATTTGCTACTTTTAGCTTGCAGCTCAGTTCAACCTTCTTTTCTRTCAGAACTTCTCAGATCCTGTAGTTTACTGACCTAAGCGCGGTGTATTTATTTTACTGTGTATGCAGAAATATTGATGGATGTGCACTGTTCTGCTTGAGAATTATTTGCAACAATTAAATAYTTTTAATGCTTTTTTTTTCTACTCACTCATCTCCAATGTAGACTCCAGGCCAGACCTCGTTGACGTGAGTGTAAGCCACACTCCCACGGTTGAGGATTTTCTCCAGCTCGTATCCCCCAGGTGTGACATAATCCAGACTGGACTCTTCCTCCGCTTTTCTAACATTAATCTTTGATCCAGTCTTTGAATTGTGAGAAGCCATTTTCTCACAGTGACTTCCTCTCACACATGACTTACTTGCTTGAAGAGGATGACTCTTTCTCCCTCAGTAGTCATAAAAAAAAAGCTAAACATTCTGTTTGTTTTTCAAGCACGCGTTTCCAACACCGAGACATTGAGGCTCTTCATTTTCTGACTTCAGAATCTGTTTTTTTTTAATCCCTCTGCCAGATTGTTGTGAAGCAACCCTTGAAGGCAGAACATGTTTAGCTCTGGCAGGCTGGAGTCAGGGCGCAGATTGTGTAACAGCCTCTGTGACAGGCATCAAATGCGGAGGATATTTTTAGGACTGGGATGTGGCGGGCCCCTGACCTTAGCCGCCATGCTTTCCGCCTGCAGGGAAAACTTCCACCCAGCCAGTCTCCGCCATCCACGTCTAAACACTTTAATCTCTGCTGCCGGCAGCAAGCTGTGCTTATCCAAACTTTGCGCTTTGCCAAAGGATACCCATTTTCGCTGCAGTGAACGGGGGCCACTGTGAGCTCTCGCACAGCTGTGAGAGCGACTCCTTGAAATCGTGTCAGTCTCTTTTAGCCTTTCTGCATATCTTCAGATGCTGAGAGACAGCGTGTAAGCGCAGCCTTACAACACCCGTTAAGGATGTTCTGCATCTTCTGCAGCCTCTCCCGGGGCCCGGAGGAGAGCTGAAACGTGTCAGACGGTTAGACAGATGAGGTTTTTCACAGGATGGCACATGCCTTTGATTCCCCATTATATGATATGCACGGTCCATTCAGAGATCTAAATGCAGAGACTCCCCCAAAAAAAAAAAAAAAAAAGAAAAGTGAGAGAGCGCGATGATGACTGTGTTGCAGGATGAAGCTGCTAACATGTCAGACTGAGTTTTCACACCATCAGACTCCTTTTATTTTCCCCTCATATCTTTATACTCTGCCATCATTCATTCTGACAGTGGGATCATTAAACCTGTGATATCCAATTCCTTTTATTTTGACAGCATCTTTTTCCCAGCGAGCTCTGGAGAGCATTTCTTATTAAGATGGCTTCAGCGTTTCATCTCTTTTCAAAGTCTGACCTGAATCTGTATACACACTCGCAAGCACCGTGGCATATTTTTTGTCATTTTGAATCAAACCTTTTTAGACACGTTACAGTTTTAACTTAACATCACTGGACTGCAGCGGTTAGGATGCTGTGTGTTTGGAGAAATGTGAAGTGGAGCGTTGTTTATTTATAGGCAGTTTCTGTCTGGGTGTTGTTTGAGTTCAGCGGGGGTCTTGACAGTTGATGATGCTGAGTAAAAAAGAAAACACATTAGTGTTTTTGAACATCCTTGCTTTGTTTTATGCAACGTCTGRATTCTTTGCAGGTTATTTACTTATTCGTGGTTCACATCTGAAGGGCTGAAAGTCGAGATGTTTGCATTGTGAGATGTTTGCATTGTGAAGCTGCAAATGAATGGTTGAAGTTTGTTTCCTTTTTTGCCAAGCCTTCAGCTCTGTGTTACAAACTTATATAAAGAAAGAAATGAGGTTTAAAATCCAAATTGGACATTCTGTTTCAAATTTGGCTTTTGTCATTTTCAGTAGACTATATTTAAGCCTACAGACATACAGACAGAGATGTGAATGAATTTGTTTGTACCCTTTAAAGAAAAAAAACTCTCAATCATTTAAATTATGTAGAAATTGTGTTTGAATTATATAAAATCAAATCAAACACACTCAACATATCTGTTATTATTATTATTATTATTTATGTAAAACTGGACATGTAAAACACTTATAAAAATATATAATTTATATATACTTTTTATATTTTTTAAGTTTACTTAAACTTGTACAAAAATAGATAAATAAAAAAAGGAAAACAGAATTGACCAAATGTCAAAGCCAAACAAAATGTTTGACAAGAAGCAGGATGACGCTCCTACCCAATTCTCTATTATTACAAAACAAATTCCATTAAGTATGATTTCTTTTTATTATTATTTTTTAAAACAATGCATAATAAATTCTTACTTAACYGTATTACACTTCACACTCCACCTCAAACACTTTCACTTCTCYACAGCCTGACACAATATTGTATTTAATCATTTTCTTAACAACACAAATACATCTGCTTCACTTGATGTCGTCATCTAAACCATTCACAAAGTTACATCAGAAAATAAAATACACATTTGTCTGAGCGTTGCCTTTCTCAAAGATATACGTATGTATCGCTTAGATTCTACTCATCTCCTCTGTTCTCAAATATTTTCTGGATGTTACCAGGAAGTAAATAATTCTTTGCTTTGTACGGTATTTGAGCATAAGTGTACATAAGGATTGCAATGTTGTTTTATAAGTGTTTCCCCATACCTCTACACAATAAGTTAAGTAAGGCAATATAAGAGAACAATAGAGAATAGACATTATTTGTTTCAGTATATTTCTGTTGCCTAGCACTGCAATGCTTTTTGCTAATTTAGCTCTCTCATGTCTCACATGTGATTTCCAACTAAATTTACTGTCTAGAATTACTCTTTAAAAATTGAATTTCATGTACACTTTCCATATTTACATCATCTATTATGAATTGGATTTGAATGTCCATTGTTGGACTGCCGAATATTCATTTAGTTTCATTCAAATTCAACAATAGTTTTGTTGGCATCAAACCATATTCTTATTTTATTTAATTCTACTTTAATAAGATTCACTAGATATTGTAAATCATTTCCGTAACAAAGTATGTTAGTATCATCTGAAAATAGAAACAATTTCAGAAGTCCATATGCATTACATACATATTAAATCCTTTTGGGCCAAGTACTGACACCTGTGGCACTCCACAAATGATGTCTTAGCATTTTGATTTGTAATCACCCTACTGCACAAACTGTTGTGTGTTACTAATTTAGCTCTTTAACCAATCCCATCCCTCTAATTCCATACCTTTCCATTTTATTTATATTGTATCAATAACTTTCTTTAAGTTGATAAATTCCCCAACAGCATACTTTTCSTTATCTAAACAATTAGTTATTTTTTTATTTAAATCTATTAATGTAGTAGCTGTTGACCGACTGGCTCTAAACCCATATTGGCTGTCTGACAATAGCTGATGCTTGTCTTTAAAATCATCCAGTCTCTCCACAGTTTTCCCAGGGTCTTAGAAAGTTGTGAAACTATGGACACTGGTCTGTAATTTATAAAGTGATGTTTTTTCCCCTKGTTTAAACCCTGGGATTACCTTTGCAACCTTCATTATTTTTGGAAACATACCTGTTTGCATCACCTTGAACCTCTTTACTAAGGCCATATAAATTTCATTYCAGTCAGTAGAAGGTTTTCTCTCACATCTTTTAATAATAAGAAAAGTGAATTTTATTCTCATGAACATCTTGATTTACTCGTGATAATTATTCATCACCTTCTGTATGTATTATCTACAGCAAAAACAGCAACTGTCAGCAATGTTTGTTRTAATTTTGCAGATTTTGTTGGAATTTGGAAATCAGGATGAGAATCCATCTTTAAATGGTTTAAAGGTTTTGTACCTTTCTGACACGGGGCTTCATAAATGAAATCAGCTGTCTCCATAAAGAACGGGCTCAAGTCATTATCCCCGCAGTCTGGTGCTTTGATTTCACGATACTCTGTGTTGGTGTCTTTGGAGAAACATGTCAATGTGCTGAGGGCCATCTGCAGCGTTCACTACATGTGTTATTTCCAGATTCTTTAACAGCGTTTTATCCCAAGCTGTGGCCGTGCAGATATTATAAGAGATAATGGAGATAATGTCAGTTTTAGCTGTTTTCCCCCCCTCCTGCATATTGCCATCTCTAGAAGCATATGTCTGCAAAATGCATCACTTGTGACTCAAATGTACAGATTTCATATTCGCTCCGTCAGTTGGCCAAATAACACGACTTGTTTGCAGCAACAGTTTCAGCACGTTGCAGCGGGGGCCCCCACAGTGAGATCGTCACTTACGCATCGCCGATGAAGAGGTTGGGCCAAACTTCACTGACAGCTCCAGTGGGGCGCCTGTTTTTCAGCAGAAGGCTGAGCAGATCGCAGGTGGGTGGTGTCTGCTCCTTTGACTCCTCCTCTGACCTCATGTCCTCCTCACTGTTGGTGTATAATTATCACCAATCGTATCTTCGACTTAACATGCGCTTAACTTTCCAAAACAAGACGAGAAAACGTATTGCTTRGATTTCTCCTTTATTGTCTTACAAGCTTGAGGAAAGTTCTGCAACAGACCCTCTCTGTACAGAGCAGTACTCTGAGCTGGATCTCAGTGTTGCTGGAATGAAACAGCTGAACATACCGTAGACTGGACAGAGGCCGCGTGGGCTATTTATTCCTCTGATGACTGTGACAGAAGCCAGGCTGCCTGTGTTGGTGCTTCAAGCCATTCGGAACACGTGTAGGAAGCCAAAGTCAGGATTAAAAACCCAAACTAAACAATCTCATGTTAAACAAATCATATAAAGAGACAGAACCAATGTAAATTGTCCTCCAAAAACTATTTGTCGACGTAGTTTATCTTAATGTTTGCCTTCGGTGATGGTTATTTTTAGTGAATGCATTTTTTTCCTGGAGGTCCTCTGAGTTTTAGGGTGTGCTCATGTTAGAGGTTGACGAATCAAATCAACCTTTGTGGTGCGTTCCAGGATTATTCTCTAAAGGTTATTTTGGTGGAACTACACACATAGGTTGTATAAAAACTCCTGTCCACGTTCAGTATCAGTTGTCTGAAGGTTGTTTTGTTAAACAGATGGAAATTGGTCTGTGATAAATGTTCTTGAGTAACGTCCCCGATAAACATAAACCTTCTGAGGATATGATCCCCCACCCCCTCAACCCCCTCACTGCTTCACTTGTGTATATAATGTATCAGATAACTCAGAACCTAAAAAGAAAAAAGAAAAAAAACTCAGGCTTTTATTTAATATTATACCAATTACTCACTGCTTAGGAAACACACAATGGTCCATTGGTTTACATTTTTTGAATTTTATTTTATTTATTTTTGAAAAATCTTACTATGGGGAATGATAMAGTGCATTTGATTTGATATAATACAATTGTTTAAATTCAGTAGCTGTGTTTTTTTTTAAATTTAAATACAAATGTATTACTTAATCAAACTTTAGTCTCCTGACTGCCACCCTATGTTGGTACAGATAGACCAGCTGCTCCCCCATTTTTTAAAGTGGGGGTGCAATATTGAATTTTTGCTCCTGTGTTATTTGCCTTTAAAACATTTTTATCACTATTAAATTAAAAGTAGTGACAAGATGTTTTCTATAAAGATCTATAAAGTACTTCAAAAATAAGTAAGTAAAAGTAAAAATACCTTAAAAGAACATGACTTTGGTAAAAAAAATTAATTTCACTGATGAGGAAAGTACTTAAGTAAAAGTGATAAAACTGTTCACCAAAGTTGGAAAAGTAAAAGTATTTTTACACACTCCCTAAAAAATAATCTGTGGAACTTACTGAACCAAACAGGTTCCGCTAAACAAAGTAGAGTAAACTAAGCAATATACATATTTTCTTTTGAAGAAATGATTTATATTGTCTCATATTTATAAGTTTAATGGAACCAGTTGACATGAATTACTGTATTTATTCATGTATAATACTAGAAATTTAACCCTAAAAATCCTCCAYAAAGTAGGGGGGTAGTATTATACACAGGTTATTGGTGATTAGCTTTTTTATGCTTTTTAAAGTGTATCTTACCCCCTTGTGAAAAGATAACTCCGCCCCAAGGCAGTGATGATCAACAATGATGATAGTATCATACTTGAGATCATATTATACATGAATAAATACGGTAGTTGAGTAAAGTCATGACTACATTTTTTTAGAGTGCGTAAACAACTCCTTTCATGATGAGATTGGACATAATTTGGTAACGAGTAACTAGTTGGTAAATTTTAAAGTAAATAAGTAAAAGTATGATTTGTAGGTTTTAAATATGAAAAATAAAAGTAAAAGTAACAATTTTGAAAAATACTTGGTAAAATTGCAAATCCTCAAAAAATTGTTTAAGCATTTTAACAAAGTAAATGTACTTTGTTACTATAAACCTCTGCTATTAAYAAGATAAAACCATGAATTATTTATGGAATTTAATTAGTACACCAAAACCAAAAGCTATCACAGAATTTTAGGAATTGTAAAAAACTGTTGTMATATACATGTACATGCTATTTAAAAAATACTGTAATGGGGGAAGTAGTGAAAATTATAGACTTTCATTGTTTTTCTGTACTTTACAGTTGATATGACTGAGAGCAAGAACAGGAAATCTGTAGGGAGCATTTCTCCCTGACCCCCCTTTATTGGCACTACTGGTGTTTAGCATCGTCACAAGAGGAAAACACTGAAGTATTTTATCATATCCCTAATTATGTAGCCATTCTGCTTAAGTGACTCCAATTTAAAGCCCTTCAGATTGTTGTAATGCTGTTCTTTCTCCTTTGCACATTTATTTTTTTCTTTCCTTGTTTTGTAACTAAAACACCATTGTCTCAAGTAAATCTAACTGTTTTAATCAAGTGTTTTTTTGTTTTTTTATCTTCATATTAGGTTTTTTTTTTTGCAGAAACATTGTATTCATCTCACCAAGCAAAAACAATAAATGGCTTTTGATTTCAACAACACAACAAGGATTGTTTAACTCCATTCAYTGATGCTCCAGCTGCTTAATAGCAGTTCAGCTTTTTGTCCAAATTTCTAAGCTGCTCCAAAAATCCCTCATTAGGTGAAATGTTCCTGTTGGCGCTGACTGCTTTGATGGCGCCGGCCAGCGTCATGTGTTCATGGATCATCAGGTAGGCCAGAACCAGAGTGGACGAGCGGCTGAGCCCCATTGCACAGTGAACAAACACCTTACCTGCCAATCACGAGAAACAAAAACACACAGTTCCAGTGGATCATTTCAGAGCCCCGACTCTCCTTTTCCATATTTACAACCAGGCAATCAATGGATTATTGTGTCAAACATTATTCTAAATGTCCAATTTGTTCCTCTTCTAAGGATTAGAAACCATAAACATCACAGGAGAGAAAAGTACTTCTGACTTCTAGACTAAAAGTTTTCAACAATGTTGCAGCAAATGTTTCTGCACACTTTAATCCCTGGTTTCTTATCGGGGGCCTGAGGATTAGGGAGCAGAGGAGCGCGTAATTGAACTGTCTTGGCTTCTGTGTATTTCTGCCAGGGATTACCACAGACCCCCGCCACACACCGGAGCCCCCGATCAAGCCAGCATGTGAAGGAGGAGGCCTCATCTTATTACTGTCACGTCAGATACAACTTTGCTTTACATAACGGGCCGCGCACGCACAGGCCGCAAAACGTAATTGTGTAATTTCCATGTCCAATAAAAGTCTAGCTTACAAATTACCATGGCAATCCATTTAAAACTCATTTTCCTGACAAAGGTCTGAGCCTAAATGAGAAGATTACCATGGGGTGAGGGGGAAGATATTAGCTTGATATTATGTTTAGTGTTTGATTTGCATTTTAATGAGCAATACAACAAGAGGGGTTGCTGTAATGGAAATTGACTGACAAATGTTTCTGCTATCTGTCTTGTCTTCGCCGAGTTAAAAAACGATGAGCGCTTTCTCACCTGTTGGCGAGCTTAAAGCATTCTTCATGAAATTGGCGGCTGGGTAAAAAAAGGGACTTAAATCAAACGACGGCATGTCGAACGCTTCCACTCCATGATAAGTGATGCTGGTGTCTCTGTAAAAGCTGGGCCCCGTGTTCACGTTGAATTTCCCATGAGCAGCGTTGAGCACATGGCTGATGTGGTGACACTGGAGTGTCCTTTTGTCTTTTGCTGCATACCTAAAAGAAAAATATAACGTAACTGTAGCGTAGTCTGTATTACTTTAAGTATGGGTTAGTGATGATTTTCAGCTACCACACAGCAAAATCTAAGCCTAATATTTGTCTGATTGACTGAATTGTAATCGTTGATTAGCTGTGGCAGCCATGGCCGTCTTCAGTCAAGTTATTCAGTTCTAGATGTATAATCATTGATTTTTTTATTTATAGTGTGTCCAATGTTTCATGAGTTATTTTGCTAACAGACAGACGTGGTTCACAKTAAAAACCAGAGTGTTAAAACGTCACTCYCTCTAGTGTTATTTTAACACTTTCTGAGTAAACTGACTTCCAGTGTTGGTGTTAATTCACAGTGTTGATTTCCTCAGTGTTGTCTCAACACAGGACAGTGTTAAATAAGCCCCGCCCACTTTAAGTCTTATAMAGCACTTAACAGTGTTGTTATATAACACCATGCAGTGTTGAAAGAAGTATTCTGAAAAAGCCCCGCCCTCTTCCACCTCATGTCAGACTAATATTTTCTCAGCAATGAATGTTGGGTAATCTTGTAGAAATAATGTGTTTGCATGTTTATGACTATTAAAGAAGTTCATGAGTGTAAAAATTAGTTGTTCTAGTTAGTTGTTTTGTTCAGGTTTATCACTTGATCAAGGTTAAGTTTGTGTTATTGGCCATAAATCGACACAATGAGTGAGAGGTACTTCCTGGTGTGTGAAGGTCGACTCTATTACACTTATCCTGAAATTRCTGTGTATTGTTAACTTAATGCAACACTAAAATGAGTTGATGTTAACTCTAAAGTGTTAAACTTACACTTTCAAATTTGCTGTGTAATAACACCTCATAATGTCTGTTTTACACCCCTCTACACAGAAAAAGAGTAAATAATCAACACAGTAGTGTCAAATTAACACTCATAGGAGGTATATGAACCTTAACCATTAATAACTCAATGCAGTGTTGGAACGCATGAGAATCAGAGTTGATTTGTCACCATAGTGGAGTATTTTATTAACTCTGCTTAGAATCACAATTACACTCATCAGGGTTATTTGACTTGAAGTGTTAAGTTTTATTAACACTGTACAGTGTTAATCAGTGTTAATTTTTTTAACTCTGATAAGAGTTACTGTAAATTGTACTCTGAAAATTTAACATTATAGAAAGAGTTAAATTGACACCAGGACCAAATAGACTCGGACACAGTGTTAARTTTAACTCTTTAAGTGTTGATTCAACACTGCAAAATTTACTGTTGACTCCAGCAGCTAATACCAAAGTCCTCAAGCCCAAGAGTTTGCACAATACGTATTGGAGATAATTCAGCTACTATCACATCAAATTTTAGCTCTGCAAGAATAAAAAACATCCATTACAACATTTGACACTAATCGACAATGTTTGTAACAAATTCATTCGTTTTCTTTTAATTAAAGGAACTGTTTCTCACATGTCTCCAATGTAGATCCTGGGATAAACTTCATCCAGATGGTTGCTGCTTCCCTTCTTTGTCCACATCAGTCTGTGGAGCTCTGAAGCTGAGGGGGTCTCGTACCTGCCCGCTCGCACCTCGGGGCTCGCCAGGCAGCTGAGACCTCTGGGCATGTCTGGATGCTCCACTTCTGCTCCTACAATCTGCTGGTACCAACACACCGCCCGTTATTAATATGAACTTTGCACCACAGAGGCTGCTGAGGGGCACGCTAGGATTTACTGAACAAGCCTGCGGGGCAACAAGGCCTGGGGGCTAAGAGATGTGGGTCACCGTATAGCTATGAGGTCTTTTGTTTGAAGGGACTAATATTGACATTTCTCATTAGTCTTTAAACCACCACGAGACTCAGAAGAAAGAATCATTATTGGCCTACAGTGTTTATAGTGTGAGTGCATAATTTAAAAACAGACCGCAGTCCACACTTGGACCACATGATCACATAATTATTATGAGACCCTATAATACTCTCTGTATTTTACCTTACTTGTAATTCAGCAGCTCTTGGTCGACTTATTTGTCTCCAGAGATACAGAAAATTAGCATTCAAGGGCTGTAAACAGCTTTTCATTTCCTGTTGGCAAGTCTAACCTGGGACTTTACAATTTATACGAGCGGCTTTAGAGAGACTTTTACTATACGTACTGTATACATTAGCATTCATTTAGGTGTGTGTGTGTGTGTGTGTTATTGTGCTCAAGGCTGAGGATGTACAAGTGATGTGCATTCATTGTTACAGCTTCTTATTTGCATTTTCCCCCATGTGTGAAGTTATAATTTGGCTCTCAGGGTTTTGGAAGCTTTTCGTCCTTCGGGATGAGTCACCAAGACCAAATCTGTTTGGGTGACCTTTTGTTAAGCTGCTGTGGCATATGGAGGTTGCACATCATGATGGCTTTATCCATCTCTGCTTATGATTGTTGTGTGCGTGTCGCTTTTCGAGTATGTGCATGAAAAGCCTCAAATGACCCAGTTCATGCTCGGAGTGTGTGAGCACTGAAAGCCTGGGTGAAGTGCATCTTTATACAACACGAGCCATACCTGGAGGCTCTTCTTTCTCCTCATTGATCTAGGAGTTCAGCCCTTCCCTCCCTCCCACAGTCAGGGGCAGAGAACTGATTTCCCTGGTGCATATGCTCTGCTTTCACAGCGCCCCCCCTCCCCCCTCCCCCAGGCTAACCTGTCCTTCCTGCTCCACTTTTGTGTAATTAAAGATACTTCTTATGGGAAAGTGCCTGCAGTTAACATGGAGGGCAAATGAAAAGTTWTTTTTTTTTACCTCCTCGGGCCCTCTTCTTGGTAGTGCTATGAGTTGCACGTTCCTTTTCAGCCTTTCAGATGTGATTCATCTGGATTAAAAGACAGTGCAACAATCCTTTAGGACGTCATCACAGTGTGACAGCCACARCATTAATATATCTTGCGAATAAAGCCCACACCACACAATAAAAACATTGTAGGTATGCAGTAAGTAATAAATATTTTCCAACTCACCATCTCTGCAGACACTTGCCTCGGCTGAAATCGYTGCTTTTCATCGTCTCTCGATTCAAAAGCTACATCTAGGTCGACAGCACAACCGTCTGCGTTCTCCTTGGTAATCTACCCTGCAACCTTTTTTGCTATTTTAACATCTGAATCACATCCCAAAAATAATTCTGGCATCATCTTCTACATTCCTTAAAGGTTACACAAGCTGCCAGCACAGGAAGCAAGATAGGACACTGCTTTTTTTTAATACCAAGAAAATTAGATCAGTACTACTTTCATTTTAAGATTTTTTTTACTCTTTCTTGACATTTTTTTCCTCCCTTCAGTGAAACGTTTTTACCAGAACTTGTTTGATCAAGGATGGAGTGTATTTCAAGACCATTTAATAGTTCCTATTTATCAGAAAATAATACCATAACCGTTTGAGACTACGGTACTGACATGCTCAAAGCACAAAKGAAATACACATTTTTACAAATGCCTAAAACAATTCATTGCAAATGTTCAGCCTTTATTGTACATTTTTTTAATCCACAAAGTAAATATGCTAAATATAAAGGCTGAAACATTTATTATCCAAATAAATACACAATTATATTCTATTACAGACTATCTTAAACACAACATGGTGCAATAATGTAGAATTTGGAGGTGTTTCAATGAACCTATGCTGGGCTATGTGAGCTTTCCAGAGGGGGGAAAAATCAGGTAAAAATCTTTGTTGTCAAGTGCTGATTAAAATAGAAAGTGCACCTTTTATTAGCTGCTTTAGAAATGCTTACAGGTGGTTTCATGGACTGCCAAAAGACCTGAAACCTATTGAAGCAGAGCAGTGATCAAMTCAATCAGCTTCATAAAAAATAAAGAGGTTTTGTTCTGAACAATGATGTTTTTAACAATCTGAGTCATTATAAAACATAGTCCATAATAAAATTTGGTCCTTTCTGTTGTGAGGAAAAAGTTAAGAATTTCTTTTCTTCTCTAGCAAATTTATTCTTCAGTTAAGACATTTCTTTATCTAAATTTACCTATTTTATTAAAAGAAAGAAAAAAAACCCAACAATCTTGATGTAAGCATGTCTGCATGAAAACACCACAAAGCTCTGGTTGTCATGATTTTGGCATGAATTTGTGCTTTCTTTGTACTTTTAGTAGTACAACCATAGACTTGAATAAGAGACTGAGCTCCGCCCACACCGTCCACTGGTAACGTCTGTGACATCATGGAGGAGCAGAAACAGAGACCAAACAGGCCAACAGCTCACAGCCTCCACAGAAACTAAAAGATAAACAACAAGCTGAACTGCATCTGTTTCACAGATTATCAGTCATGTTTTTTTTTACAATAAATTAATAACTATGTTAATTTCATTCAAACAGCAGATATATACCAGAAAAATATAAATAACAATTATCTAAAGCAGACCTGAAGACAGTCAGTAACTTAGACTTTGAAAAATGATGACTTCATCTAGTAATAAAGTAAATTTATTATTTCTTCTTACTGTCATAAAAAATAAGAATAAATATTTACCAGTCACTTAGAAAATGTTCTCTGTATACCTGTTATAGGATGAAACATGTCTCTATTAGCTAACCATCTACTCAACAAGTCAGGTTCCTCTAACAGAAACCTAAAAATATTTACATTTATATTATTTTACACTCTTTAGGTCTAAATATTAATCAGAAACATTTATAATATTATTTTACACCCTGTAGGTCTAAATATTTATCACAGGACAAATTAGTTGTAATATTTAGCTAATAGTTTGTGTTAAATTTTTGCATGATTCAACAGTGCTACACTGTATATACGCTCCACAAGCTAATATCTGCTAACCAGTTCAATAAATAACAGTGTTGACAGCGACTTTATAAGATTATTTTAATTTTAAACTTACATTATGTTTTGCTCAGATCACATTAAAGTAAATAAAATCAAATCTGCTGACTTGTGTTGTGAAATGAGACGTTTTCCTGTTTATCTTC